GGTCGTGTAGACCAGGAGACCAATGTCACCCCTCGATGATGACGATGCCGATGACGACGACGATGATGATGATGATGATGATGATGATGGAGATGATGATGATGCTGATGATGATGATGATGATGACGATGACGACGGCGACGACGAACGACGAGGAGGACGACAGACGACGACGACGACGCACTGCGGATGCCCTGATGGGGGGGTGCTGCTTCGGCCCGCTGTTGCCGACGACGACGACGACGAAGACGACGACGTCAACAACGCGACAACGACGGCGGCGACGACGCCGCACTGCGGATGTCCTATGAGGAGGGGGGGGTTGCGTAGGCCCGCTGTAGTGGACGTTGGCGGACGACGGACGGCGGACGACGACGACGACGACGTCTACGTCAACGGCGACGACGATGACCGTTGCACGTCAGTAATCAGCCTGAGAAGGGGGAACAACTTCGCCTCGGATGTATACGATCCGTATAACAACTTCTATACGATGGGCAATCGATTTGAGGCTGCCGTGCAGGGGGTACGCGATCCCCTCGACGGCGCCCACGACGACCCCCTGGCGCGCGCGCGATAGAAAACATTGTTTCACGCCCCGCGGGGTCTATCCATCAACCCGCGGGGGGGATTTGTTAATCACAAGCTGGCATTGTGTGAGCGCTGCCACTGGGGGCTTCGCTGGAGCTAACTGGCAGTCACGACACGTGTGAGAGGTGTGCCGAAACGGTCGGGGAGCGGTGCTCGAACGCTGCCACTGGGGCCTTCGGAGGAGCTCCCTGGGGGCTACGAAACGCGTGAGGGGTGTGCCAAACTGGCTGGGGGGCGGTATGCGAACGCTGCCACTGGGACCGTCGGTGGAGCTCCCAAGGGAGGTACGACCCATTTGAGGGGTGTGACGAAAATGAGATGGTAATGATAAGGGTGGTAATTGATATCAAGATGATGATGGTGGCAATGATATCAAGACGATATGGTGCTGATGATGAGGAGGAGAAGGGGAATGAGGAGGATGAGGATGAGAACCCTTGTAAACCCAAGTGTCACCAACGATATTGGAGTAAGCCCTCCGTCGGAGCTCCCTGTTCATAGGCCCCATACAACGGTGCATTTCCACTGAGGGAACTGCCTCGCTGGAACACATCTGTTTGAAGACCCCGAAGCATGCTAGAGAACATTGTTCTCGGGATTCCAACGCCAAAGATCAACCTGACCGTGGCGTCTTGACTTTGGAATCGGGCCAGAACGCGACTCCTGAGACGGCAACACCGCGAATCTACGTAACTGTTGCGCCCGCAAAATCCGGAATCCTTCCAAACCGCCATTTTTGGTGCGCTGATCATTGGAATCCGTGGAACTCTTGCAAAGTTAATAAACGAAGGTGCGCGGAACTATGGCGGGAACCACATTTTAAAAAGAAACCACCCTCAATCCGTGACGCTCCTGCAATTCTTAAAAACGAATGTGCGCGGCGCTAAAGCGAAAGCCACATCTTGAAAACGATTCGCCCTCAATCCGTGAAATTCTTGCAATGTTTTAAACGAATGCGCGCGGCGCTAAAGCGAGAGCCACATTTTGAAAACGGCCCGCACTCCGTCTGTGAAGCTGTTGCAAACTTTTAAACTTCAGAGTAATAAGTGGTGAGGTAATATCAGGCGAAACGCCTGACCCGCCCTAAAAACCTGCCTCGGGGTGCGACAGGGAGAAGTTAGTTGTAAGGAAAAGAGATGGAGGAGGAACAGGAGGAGGAGGAACAGGGGGGAGGTGGAGGAAAGAAGGAAGGAAGGCAAGACAGAAGGAAGGAAAGAAGAAAGGAGGAGACGCGCGGCGCTGCGAATTCAAAACGAAGAAGACCCAACTCCACAAGGCGGTTGGGAACATTAACGTCGGAAGCCGGAGTCTCTGCCGCATCCCCTCCACGCGGCAAGTTCACGTCGCGGTGACGACGGTGCTGGCTTCTGACCCCGCATGGCTCGTCCTACCTCGAACGATTGCGGCTCCCCTTGGCGGCGCGCAGAGTGGGATAAAGGGGGAGGGGGGGAGGCTTCTTAGAAGCACCCCTGCTTCTTCTTATAAGCCGCGCTCCTTGTCTGCAGGCCCGCGCCTTCTCAGAAGCCGCCTCCTTCTAAGAAGCCTTCCCCCCTCCCCCGAACCCCGTAGGCGCGCCGCCACCCTCCGACAGCGCAGCTCGTTCGCCACCTGCCGATTCTGGGCGCCCGCGGGCGCTCCGCCCGAAGCGCGCGCCCGTCGGCGTCGCCGCCGCGCCAACGCAGCGCGAACACGCCGCGCCGCAGCCGAGACCTGCTCAAGAGTCGAAGTCAAGAACCCTCCTGTTGGAGGCCTGGAAATGGGCACCAGCACCAAGACGCGGGGCTGCCTCCACAGGGTGGAGACGATCCTTGAGTTCGGTGCTCGTGGTGATATTTCGGTCACCCTGGAAGCCGGAATCTTATGGCGCATGGCTTCTGTCTTGTCTTGTCTTGTCACCGAGATCGGGATTCTCTTCCCTCGGTGGAGGAACGCCGCCGATCTT